AAATCGGTTTGGTTGGGGAGAAAAAAACACCCTCCGGAGTTTTACGGTGAGCTAGAGGGAGGTAGGAGCAACCAAATATGTTAAACCTTAAATAATGTCTCAAAGAAAAGTTTTTTTTTTATTGTATGCTACTTTGAAAACTTTAGGTGAACTAAAGCAACTGACTTCATCCTAACCTCTGTGGATTGTAGCGTAGTATCTTCTATGACCTATGTTTGGTAGAGTAGGAATGTCCTTATCACGGGGAGAAACACCTGCATCGATCTCATTAGGATGTTTATCACACAATATATTTCGGCAGACATTCCTACTTGCCCTCTGTTGAACAGTTTTTAAGCTCTGAAGATAAAATGAAGTTTAACTAGGATTGCATGCTTTATCCTAACATTTCTAGAATGTAGCTTGATAATTATCCATCGCTCCGGCTGATGAGAGGTAGCAGTTAAAGAAAAATAAAAATAGAGATAAATTTGCTGGCAAACTTTCTGCGAAAGTATTTGAATGAGAGTGATCTGGCAGGAGGGTATGAGGGCTCCTCTCCTCCTTGACAGGGATCTGAAATGACTTTTAAACCTCTCACCAGCCTCCACTGAGCAGGGGGCTGGGAAGGCAGGAGCCATGCCATCTCAAAACCACCTCAATCCCTCTGTTTCTCCCATGGAAAGGAATTCAGTGGAGGCTGGTGCCACTCAACGTGGGGAGGAGAAGGCAATCTGCCCAGGGCTGGTGTGGCAGCGGGCAGCGACCACACGGAGCCCCCGAGATGGGACTCAGGCTGCAGCAGCTGTGCTGAAAGTATTAAGGAAACAAAAAAGGTCCCAGGTAATTCAGCAGTAAGGGATGATTGCTAGTGTCCCTCTGGGCTGCGTGCAGAGAGGATCTATGCCTGCATTAGCACCAGCAGAAGATATTTAGCTCAGTGGGAGCAGCTGGTTTTGTTTAACCTGAGAGGTCCTGCACTCAGCTCTGGAGCGAGCCAAACATCCCCAGGCCATTTACACAACTTTTTAGGATATTAGGGGTCCAAGCATCCTTTACAGGCAAGTTCCTAGCCTGAAATACGGTAGGGGTTTATTCTGCATCCATCTGCACCATTCATGATTTTTACTGCTGAACGGACAAGGAGTTTGGATTTTCAATCATGTGCAAGGCCAAGTCTGCATAAACACAGGTGGCAAAATCCATCATCCTAATAGAAAAGGTGTATGATGCTGTTGACATCTGTCATCTCTCACTCCTCTGAGAGTCCTTAATTCTTGTCCTCCTCCCTTTCAGAGTCTAAATTTACCAAATGGCTTTGGGGCATCTAGAAAAAGAGAAGGGAGAACACAAAACGCAATTTAATAGTATCCATCAAAGCAAGGATTTTTGCTTGGCCCCTGTTTAAGATCAAATATCACATGCCCCAGCAAGTGATCTATATTTCATGCCATTTTTAAAGATGCTCAGATCTGGAGAAAATTAGCTGCCATCAGAATTGACGATGGTCCTTTTTATCCTCTAGGAGAACAGACACTGTGAAGTTTTCACTAGACATTAAAAAAAAAAAAAAAGAGAAAGGCACATAGACACAGCCTGGGAATCTGAAATTCAGGCTCCAGCTGTGCTAGTGACCTTGCTAAAGACAGTAATCATCTTGTGTTGTAGATCCTCTGGAGACACATGGGTCTAAAACGGTGTACAACCAATAAGTATTATTATTACTCTATTTTTTGAGTTTGCTTTTCTGCATATAAGATTAGAGTAGCAACACATGTAGGTAAAATGTGCAAGGAAACTGTAGTCTGAAACATGAAACTATTGTTGTGAAATTAAAAATAGCATCATGTAGTCATATACCGGGAAGGACGTGCTAATTAACAGCAGAAAGTGCTTTTTTTTCATGGAGGAACTAAGCAGAATGAGGGATCTTGTTCACAACCTGCCTGGTCTTCAGGTCACATCTATATAAGTCGCTGTGGCCTCATTTTGTTTCCCAAACCTTAGAGCTTAGCCCAGGAGCGTAGCCATTCACATCATCTTCTTTCACCAAGGTGGTCCTGGAGGACAACAGAGAACTTGGGATGGTGAATAACTCCCCTGAAGTGCCCATGAGACACTAACAGGTAGTTAGGTTGGAGGCCTCTAGGAGATGCTGAAAGTCCCGTTGGCAGCTGGGTCTTCATTCCCCCCACACTTCAGTCTCCATCTGTCAAATGGGATGAAAGGCAATATTTTTTTCCCATCTTCTGTCTTCCTTGCTGAGGCATTGTAACCATTGCTGTGTCGGCCCTGCCTAGCACAACAGGACCTTTATCTCACTTGGAGCATTTGGCAAAGCCAGCATGTGAGCTGTATTAGAAAAGGCCCCTATTTTCCCAAATGCCATGGTGGCAGGTTCGTGTTTGCATGCTATAAAAGCAGCAAAGGCAAAGCCCTTGTGTAGATAGGAAGCAATTTGCCTTTGGAAAGAAAGGGGACGGACAAAACGACCTCAAAGTAATTCAGCATCTGTGATTTCCTCGATTCCATCTGAAAGCTCACTCTCTGTTTTGCTGACATATGAGCTGGGTGCCCTATTGTACATCAGTGTAACAAATAGCCGTTATCTTCTGTTCCATGGGAGATATAGCAGAACATGATTTATTTGTGCCTGCTCCGTTGCCTCTTTTGAAATGTTGCCGTCGTTCAGTGCACCTTTCGCAGAGGAAGGCAGATGGTCATCGCTAAGTTTCCCATAACCTTGCCGTGCATGCTGCATAGTGAATCAATGAAATCTGAATTACAGTCCGTTGTCTGAGTTTGGAGCTGTGCTGCTGAAGTATCCTGCGGTGGCTGAAAATGTTTGAATGTCAACACTGCATATATACTGAGGAAATATGATATTTCTTCCTAAAATTTCAAAGCAGTGCCAAAGGGGATTTTTAACTGCAAAGTTGCATCTGATGTGAGCAGGGACTGCATTGCTCAAACCTTAATTACCAGCTTGGAAATGAGTGAGCGCGTGAGTCTTAGGTGTAACCCCTCCTTAGGAAAAAAAAAAAGAAATAATGAATCTAACCAGGCTTCTAACATGAAATGCCAGAGATGAGGATTTTTTGGAGTCCAAACAGCACCAGCTGCCCCTCTGTGCTAGCTGTCTCTGCTTATATGACATTTGCAATGAGGCTTCAGGTGATTTGAGAAGCTGGCATTAGACTGCAAATCACCTTTCATGTCAGCTTGTGCCAGGATACCTTGCCAGAAGGCATTATTTCAATGGGAAATAACAACTGGGAATAGGGAAAAAATGAACTTCTGAAACGCACTTTGTCACGTTCCCCGGGCTGTGGCAGACAAACGTTGAAAACAGGGCGAGCTCCTGCCATGAAAGCAGGCATAGGCAGAAATTTCTCAGTGGGAGGATTACCTCCTTTACATACCAGAGACAAGGCAAGGTGAGTATCTAAAACATTGGCAGCACTGTTTCTCGATTTCTGATATTTATTTGCTCTATGAGCAGACATCCCAGAAGACACCTATGTTTCGTAAAGCCTGGTACCTTGCTTCATTGATTTTTCCTTAGTATGGGACTCATTACGGCGAGCAGGTCTGGCAATTTCCGACAATGACCTGTGTGCAGCACAGGTGTTTCTAGAAATGGTTAATGTTGGATGTAATACACGTTAAAAGCATCTCCCCCAAAATGCTTCTGGCCCTTTTGTAGATGATTGGTTCCGTGTGTGTGCCTAGGGCAGAGCATCTCCCAAATTCAGGCTGACAGTCAGCACATTTCCATAGCGCGTCCAGGCAAAGAGTATTATCTCACATGAACTTGCTGCTGCAAAATGTTTTATATATTAACTGGCTTGATATCTTTATGTTTTTCTTAAATACCAGAGGACAGAAATCTGAAAATTTTTAATCCCATGTACACACAAAAAAAAAGCAAAATGTTTTTTGGTGTGCGACAGACATTTAATCCCTGGGTTTAGAGTTTTTGATCAAAGAGATTACTTGTGCTAGGACATTTTTATCCAGTCTACTGAGTCTTCTTTCTCAGTTTACAAGTGGGTTTGATCTAAATCCATGCAAGCTTGTCCTGTCTTGAAAGGGGCACATCACAGTTATTCTAGAGAACTAGAATAACCAATGGCTAAAAAGCAAGGACCTTTCTTACAAAACCTTTCTTACAAAAAAAGAAAAAAAAAAAATCTAAATGGGACCAGATAACTCACAAAAAAGTAGTCTGGTCTTGTAAAGAGATGGAGGCTGATCCTGAAATGCACCTGATGTGTCCTTTACTGATTGTCATGGAGTTTTTATGTCCTAGCATATACTGAAATAAGTGAAACGAGAGTAAGTTTTATATTCTTGAAATACAAAAAACCAAACCCTGGCTAAATCAAGGTCTAAGGTAGATTCTTATCTCTGTGCCACTGATATAAATCCATGAAACTTCAAATAAACAATTCAAAAAGACTGATTTTCATTATATTGTTCTAGAGCCAGAGTAGCTATTAAACTGGATCTGCCTACATTTACATCTGTGTATTGAGGAACCAGGCCTCATTTTATGTACATGCCAACTTTTTAAAAAGCATTTCCAAAGTGTCAGGAAATCACAAATCTTCCAGAAACTGATCTTCATCTCAAACATTTCATACTCCAGTAACTGGAGATTTGTTGTTGTCTGTCACAGTTAAAATGTGGGAAGACGATCCGCTCCCGCAGGGTGAGGAGCTTGCATGCTACGTTTCAGTCTCTGAACACCTGGGACCGCGCTGAGTATCTGAGCAGTCCCTGAACTGCAGCACGGAATTGCAAATGAGTATATAATAAGTAAGGAATAGAGTTGTGGCAGGGACTAGGGATGCAGCCCAAAGCCCACTGAAGTGAATGGCACGACTGCTGTTGACTGCAGTGGCCTTTGAGTCGAGCTCTTGGCATGTCTGCTCAAGGAAGGTAGAGTCAAACGGTATCGCTGTATCGCATCTTACCCAGGATAACCACATGCTCATCTTTTTTACTTTCCCTCCCAGGATGGAAGGAGCAGTTTTATTGGCCACCAGCTTGGAGGGGTCATGGAAGTACCAAACAGCAAGGACCAGAGAGTCAAATCAGCCAGAGCCATCCAAATCACTTACTACCTCCAAACGTATGGCTCTGTCACCCAGGACCTCATTGGGGAGAAGTGGGAGAGTGAATTCTGTAAACTGATGCACAAGATGCAGCTGGATCACCAAGATCTGCAGCTCTACTCACTAGCGTCCTTTAGCCTCTGGAAGGACTTCCACCAGACCAGTCTCTTGGCCAGGGGCAAGATTTTGGTGAGCCTGATGCTGATTCTCCTGACTGCTACCCTCTCGAGCTCCATGAAGGACTGCCTGCGTAGCAAACCTTTCCTGGGACTCTTGGGAGTACTCACTATCTGTATTTCCAGTGTCACTGCGGCAGGGATATTTTTCATTACTGATGGAAAATATAATTCTACTCTGTTGGGAATCCCTTTCTTCGCTATGGGTAATTATTTATCTTCATAATAATAGGATTAACAGAGCTTAATGACAGGATTGTAAATTACATCCTGGGTTATAAAGTGCAGATTTTACCTTGAGTGAAAGTCTAAGTCGTTTTCATCTTGTTAAATTGATCTGTGCCTTGCCAAAAAAAAAAAAAAAAAAAGAAGAAAAAAGAAAAAGGGAAACGAAACAACGCAGTAGCAACAATAAAGAGCAAATGACGTTGCTGGAATCTCAGCCAATATGGGAGCAGGGCAGGTTTATTGATCTCTGTTACAAAACGAAGGAGAAATTGTTATTGAAAAGTAGTCAGCTCAGCACAGAAAATGGATATGTGTTGACCTGACTTTGATGGGAGGCCAACCGAAAGAGTAAGTTAAAATAAGAGGGTGCCGAGGAAGGAAAGCTTTTAGCATCCTTCCCGAGGAAGGCTGCTCTTCCAGCTCTGTCTGAGGGGCAGAGGGGAACAGGTTGGTGTAAGAATAAGATTGATGGACTTTATCTCAGAGAGGAGATTACTGTTGTGGTGTTTGCCAGGCTGTGAGCAAAGGGGCCTGTCAGTATCTGTAGCGCATAATCTCTCAGTTTGTGAAGTCCTGGATCAGATGCAGAGATTTCCTTTGTGTCGCACCTGGGCAGGGGAAGGTGCAGAAAAGAACAAATGTAAACCCTAGCTCTTTTAGCAGAATTGTTCCTTCTGTTCTCATTTCTGTTCCAAGCATTTCTAGCACATCTGTGTGGTTAATGAGTTTGCTGGGGAGGTACATTGGGAAAGAGAGAGGGAAACGTGCCCAAGCGGCTTGCTGAGGCAGCGTTGTTCGGTGCAATCACATCCAAGTTTGTCAGAGTTTCGCCGTATCATGAGTCTGAACCTCAGCGATGACTTTTTATGCAAAATCTCAGCAGTGGCAGCCCAGACCCAAAAACCTTCATGTTGGCTTTTTGATGGCAGGGAATCTTACCTGTGGACAGAACTCTGCATCTTTACAGTTAATTTCTTAAATTCCATTCATGCTTGTAGTGCTCAAGCCCCGTCATCTGTTGTGGTCAGAGATAACTTAACATGCAAAGCCACAAGGTAGAATTAAGGTTTGGAGAAAGGTCGTATATTTTTCTTAGAAAAACTCAACTCCCTCCAAGCTACATTTTCGTGCTCTTCCACTGAAGAGAAGTCCTGTAGATGCATGCATCCCCCAACTCTCTGCCTCCAACTTTGCTGTCTCCTGCCCATGCATCTATGTCCCTAACCAAGGGGCCCAAGCCATGGCCTCTCAGTCCTGCACCCAGCATCTCTGGAGCAGCTGGCCATGGTGGGAAGGAGTGGCATAGAGTGGATGATTGAGATTCCAGAAGGGAAAGGGAAGAGTGAGGCAAAAGACCCCAAGGAATTGCATGATTGGTTCAGCCTCATTAATACTGTTAAACAAAGCCATTCCAAAGCCTCTAATTCAATCATGTGCACTGTTAAATCATGACAATGGCCCCTGGCATGGTCTGACCTGTGCCAACTTTACAGCTGCTGTGCACAGCTCTGCAGTGTAAGAGGATTTGCTGGGAAAAAAAAGTTCTGAGATGGGAAGAGGCCAGCAGGAGGAGCAAAGAATGTGCCAGGTTGTGACAGGGATGGATCCTGACCTGAACAAGGGATGTGGGCTTAGGAAAAAGAAATCTGCATGGCAGGGTGGACAAAAGGATGACAGTGGGGAAGGGAGGGCTCATGCTTGTTGTCAGATTACGGCAACCTTTTTGCGGGGTGTCAGAAGGTGCATTATAAAAAGTGGGGCCCAATGGCACCACCTTGCTTGTGCAGCAAGGTGAAGGAAAAGCAAGAAAACACTGAAGTGATGGAAAACACCCCCCCTAAATTGGTTGTTCCTCTGCTGGTGTCCCTTTTTAGACAGCTGTAGAGAAGAGTGACCCATCTTTGCTTGACAGGTCCCAAATTTGTCACTCCCAAGGAGCCCCAAACATTGCCTGTAGGTGAAGCTCATCTTTGGGCTGACCTCAAAAGCATCAGCATCCATAGAGGCCAGAAGCATCAGTTTAAATGACAGTAGCATTGCACGCAGTTTATACACACCCTGAAGCCCCAGGATGAGGCAAGGGTGGGAGTTTCTGAAAGCAGAGTGGCTCAGTAACCCACCTAGGATGGTGGTATTCCGGGAGTTTGTTTGCTGTCTCAGGGAAAGTAATGTTTATAACTTTCTGTTGTGTTTTGTGCTGTCATTCTTGTCACAGCCACTGCCAAGAACAAAAGAAAAGAAAAAACAACATCCCCTCAAGTAAGATATTTGCAAGGATAGCTTCTATAACATTATATTGAATGAACATCAGGGTGAAAAAGGAAGCATTTAAGTAATCCTTCTACAGAAATTTCATTCAGGAATCTCAGAGTGAATTGGAAATACTGTTAGAGAACAGCTTGCAATGCCTGGGAACTGCTGCTGGTAAATATTAGGCAACAGTTTTACAGTTTGGTCAACTAAAAGTCTGGAAGAATGTCTTACCAAAGTCATACTGGGTTACATCCTGCAGAACGCCATGTGCCTTTAGTCCCTTAACTGATGATGCCAGCTAATGACACCTTGCTCTGTCCATGATATGTCCAAGGCCTCACTGACCTGGGATCCTCACAGGGCAGGTTTTTCTACTGAACCTGGTTTATGTGAAGTGTCCTGACACCTTAGAGAAGGTCCACTGAGGACCCCAAGGCTGTTAATTCTGTGGGTCAATATGAACCAGTGTCCCTTGCTGCTAGCACAGCAGAAAGCAAACAATACAACAAATAATAACTGAGTGGTTATAAATGAAAAAGTGTGCAAACTGCGGTTTCCCAGAATTACAAATGCCAGATTTGCAAGTGAGCCTTTCAAAGTCACGTTACTCAGACTCAAAAAAGAAAAGCAAAAAACAGGCAATAAAAGTGCCTGCAAGTGCAATGCTATGCAGGATACACAGGCAACCTTAATTCTGGCAGCTCCTAACTTTGGAATATTGCACCCTGACATTTGCAAAATGTCCATTTAAAGTATATTTGTTTCATCAAAAATATGCAGATTCTTCTGGCATTCACTTTTCAAAGGATTAACTTTAATGGAAATTCTGTGATGTTCTTCTGCGCTTGTCCTTTGGCAGGATGCTGCTGTCTGAATGATAGGAGTAACCCCGGACTTGTACGAATGTTTAGGTCCATAATTCCTATTCCAATGTAGAGCTTCTGTGGGTTTCAATAGGTGATAGAAGCCTATATAAAAATGAAATGTTTAATATTTTTCTAAATTTGGATTGAATGACCCGCATATTAATTATTTACTGTAGTCCTGCTGTGAGGGAATGGTCTTCTGGGATAAAGCATCTCTCTGATATACTGGGGGAAGAGATTTAGCTCAGACTGGCTTTTCTCTTCACCCTTGAAGGTGAGAAAGTTCAGTCTTAAGTTAGGCATGAGGACAGCGGTGGAAAATCCTGCTTGCCCTGACTGCCTCTTCCCAATACCACGGTCTTCTCAGACAGCTGCCTTGGGAAAACCAGTTTCCCCAGTACAGTGTCTACCATTGTGGCTTTGCAGTCAGTGAGGAGCAACTCTTCAGATAGGTCCTGTGCAGGTAACACGCTGGCTGCCAGGATCTCCTGCAAACAGGAGCGAGAGGTTGAGTTTTAGCCTTTCATACCCCAGACAAACGGCTAAATGTAGTGCGTTAGAGAAAAGCAGCTTCTTTAGTTTCATGGCTTCCTCCTTTAAGAACTGAACTGGACCTAGATATTTTGTTTGTCTCTTTATTTTATTTTATTTTATTTTATTTTATTTTATTTTATTTTATTTTATTTTTTAACTTGGGTTTTAGTAAGCACCATGTAAAATCAGAATACGGGACAGTTCTACCTTTTATTTCTCTCTGGGACAAATAGAAACTGCAGTTTCTTCTGCGAGCTTGAAACCCACAGAGCTATCATTGGATGTGTTTCAGATAGGAGACAGGACTCAAATCAGTGAGGTTCAGGTTTGTTCTAGATGTCAGAAATGAACCTGGTTAGATGTTCGCATCTGCCTTTTGTGTTTGGATTCACAATGTAATTTCAAAGGGATGTTATGTACGTGACATAATTATGGTTTCCCATGCCTAATCATCACTAATTAATATAGCCAGAAGGTTAACTACATAATTGAGATATTATTGCTCCCATGATTTGCTTTTTAATGCACAGGAACCAGACTGATATCATCAGAGAGATAATGATTTAACTCAGCTGAGGATCTGACTGTATATTTTTAAATGCAGGTATATTAATTATGTCATTTTACACTGTATTTATTTTTGGCCAGTCCATGAAGTACCTTGCTATATAGATTAGTGGAAATCTTAGATTAAAAAAGTAACTACAGTGTAATTAGAGTGTTATTATGGTTCTTGTATTATAAAGTGTATGTGTTTCTCAGAAGGCTGGATTCACAGTGGATGTAAGAAATATTTCCTGCCCTTTTTAAGTCCAGACCATGAAGACTGTAAGATCTGCATGGTAATGGCTATTTCTCATTGAGACTTTAGAGAATACCAAGCTCAGTGGATGCCCTACAACACATTACAGTATTATTACTGCTACTACCAATAACAACGCTGTTAATGTAGTAAAGAGATACGAAACTTTAGGAAGCAATAGGCTACCTATTTCCAGCAGTAACCACAGTGTAAGAGCGCAAGATGGATGACAAAGATTGCACTTGCACTGCAGATTTTCTGGTAAAATTCCCAGGTATTTCTTCCTCTGAATTATTCAAATGGAAGGAGGAAGCAAGGCAAAAGCAGACAAGACTCCAGGCAGTTATTAGCATTTCAGACAGAAGCCATCTAACTTCTTTGGGATGTCAGTTGGTAAAATAATGGCTGGTGGTCACCTTTAAGTAAATTTGAGATGTCACAGTATTACAATTAGTGGTAGAGCTGTTGGAAATTACAGAAAAAAGTCCTAGTGCAGATGAGGAATTTTTTTTTTAAACCTCGG